ATGTATGTGACAGCAGATGGAGACAGCAAACCGCCATGGCATATCTGCACATGTACCCCTGACTTTAAAGTACAATTAAAAAAAAAAAAAGCTTGCCTTTTAGATGCTTGTAGTTAAGAAGATATATATACATCTTCTATATATAAGACCATTGTATTGTGTGAAAGTATATATGTATCATACATTTATATATGTATTTTTCATCTAGTAAATTCATATACACATATATGTATATACACATACCAGATACCTAATAAAGGTTAGAACAAACCAGCATGTGCCACATGTGTGTGTGTGTGTATGTGTATAAGTATATATATATCGTGTGTGTGTGTGTGTGTGTGTGTGTTTCCAGGTAAAGATAAAGTGCTTGTGGCAGAAGAAAAGAGAGTCAAAGTGGTTTTTATAAAGGAAATGGCTTTTAGTGGATAATGGGGGATGATTTTTTTTAAGCCTGTGGAGATATGGGAGAAACAATATTTATGATGACGTAATGGGACTTACACTGACTTTATAAGACCTTGATTTTGTAGTGAGTGGGGAGCCACAGGTAACTTTCAAGCAGGGCAAGTAGCAAGCTTGGGGCCATGTTTTCAGATCTTAATCTAGCAGCACTCCACAGGGTAAGAGTAGGAAGAGCTTAGAGATAAGGAAAGCAGGTAGGATGTTATTGCCCTGTGAGAGGTGGAAAAGATTGTAGATTAGCGCAGTGACCATAGCAATGCAGATGGAAGAGCAGATAGGAGGACAGACTCAACAGCATTTGGCCTCTGTTTAATCCTAGGGGAAAAGTGAATAAACTCAAGAGGATGATGGAGTCACCATTGGCCCTAAGGAGGAAGGTTACATTTAGAAGGCAGCATAGTAAGTGAGATCTCATCAGAGGTAGCATGCTTGAGGTGCCTACACAATTGATTGAAGGCACAGACAGAACCACTCAGAGGGAGAGAGAGCTGAGCACTTTAATGCCCCACCTCCCCATTTGCTATTATATTACAACATGGAAAAATATCAAAACAGAACATACTTTCAGGTTTTGAATTATATGTTTGAGTTATACATATAAAAACAGAACATAGTTTAAACATATGAGAAATTAAAATTTTATGCTTTTCATAAACACAAACACAAAATCACATTGACTATTTGTATACCCTTGGAGATAATGTCAAAAAAGTCTAGATTTGTAGACCTTTTTGAAAAGGAAGCCCTTAGTCAATTCTGTAAGTGGCCAAGAATGAAAGCCAGTATGTGGTAGAGATTAGGGCTACGAGAAGTAAGAAGGAATCAAAGCGAGAGGGAATGTTATCTGATGACTTGGTAATAAATACTAATATGATACATTAGTGGTTGTACTTTAAGTGTTTAAAATAACTGGGAATAGCCTTAAGATAAATTGATATTATTGTCAAATGTTTTATAACTTATTTTTAAATGCATTTTATCTATAAATTCTTTTATTGCAATATGAATTTTTATATTGTATATATAATACAATTCCTTGAGAGGCATCTTCTAAAGACTTTTCCACAAGATGATAATCCCACAAATGCATGACATAAAATAAGAAATGCTATTGTCAAATGCAGTAGAGACACACTGCAAATTATAACATCAGTCTGCTGAAAGAAAGTTCATAGTGCACATTGGATATCAAGGATCTACCATTTTCAAGTTGACACTGTGTGAGGCTCATGCTCAGCCCCTTGATGTATCTCATCTGATTCCCAGAACAACCTAAGGCCACAGGCAAAAACTATCTCCATCTTTCAGATTAGGAAATTGAGGCTTAGCAAACTCAAGCAAATTGCTGAGATTCCAAGGTCATTAAATTGACATGAAATCCTTTTTCCTCGGAGCACCAATTAACTCAAACGGCAGGCACACTTTGGGAAATGTTGCCTTGAGCAGGTTGATTTTCTTAATCCAAAACCACTCATTCCTACTTCTCTGTGCTGATTCTCATTCTAAATAGGAGGCGGTGGTTTTTCTTCTTCTCCTCCTTTTTCTCCTCATTTTCCTCCTCTTCCTTCTCCCTCTTCTTTCTTTTCCTTTTCTTTTGGTGGTAGGCATTAGGAAGGTTATAATGCAAAGAAGACATTAACTACTGCCTTAAATTTTTAAATACCTAAATCCTAAAAAGGTGATACAAATGTCAACTTGAATTTCTTCTCTGATAACACACCCTAGGTTTAGACTATTTCTGACTAATTTTACACAGGCTCACCACTTTTGATGCACCGCATTTCAACACTTAGAATAAAAAGATGCATTAAATGGGGCCATGCTTGCATTTTTCTACCAAGCTGAACACATAAAAATAATTGCCCCTGCTGGAAATGATCAGACCCTACGTTCAAAGAGGAAAATTAATGAATTCTCACTTTGTAGGAAAAGTATAGGAAGTCCAAGCAAGACTACCCAAATCCACACTTTAATTTGCAGCCAACTAATTAGATAATAAAATGTGTCCTAAGTCCCCACTCTAAAGCCCAGCTGAAACTATCAGTTAGCAAATGACTCTAATTATCATCACGTTTGTATATGTTTGTGTATGTACTAATGGCAGAATAGAAAATAAGCCCCTGATCAAAAAAGAATTTCTAACAACTCAGAAAAGTGTATAGGATCCCTATGATGAAAAGAAATATAAAAGAAGATGTAGTTTTCTCAAAATCATTGTCAATATCAGAGAGCAGTTGCTTGGCAAATGGTAAGATCTGGGAAAAACTATTCAGCTTTTAACATCTATCTTCTTATTTTCTCAGAATCTATCAAAGTAATCTATTGTTTTGTATTGTAGAAGAGTAGCTTTTTGAAGACTTAAGAAAAATATTAAAACTTGGGTATCAAACATCTAATTAAAGAGAAACTTTTACTTACTTCCAGACAACAGATTAACTTTTAAAATTAGAACCTGATATTTTTATAAAGTAACTGTGGTCTTACATTTTAAATCCAAAGTAATAAATCTGTCCTATATAATAAAAATAAATTTTATATTTTGAAAAAATATTTTTATACTGTAATTATATAGAATTAAATGTAGTTACTATTTGCATAATTGTAAAGTTTAGAAAGAAAATTGAGTCAAATTGTAGGCCGACATTTTAAAGTATGTATTATATACAAATTGCAAGTAGAGCAACATGTACACTTCTGGATTTATTAAACTATGGTCTCTTATTTTGGGGCAGGAAGTGTATTCATGTGTCGTTAAAAAAATACTGTGTACATTGTCAGTTCTGAAGACATAAATACTGAGCACATTTATACCAAAGTTTCATTTATATTTGACATTTTTTGTTTCCCACGATTTTCTGTTCTATTTACATTAAATTATGTTTTTCTAATACTTTGGCTAGATAAACATTTGGTTCTATTTTTTTGGAACTCAAGGGGTTTCAAATGTTGATGATTAATGATATATGTGGATCATTATCTTGGTTTTTTTCCTACTCTGACTTCAAGAGTTTTTAATCCTCTTGCTCCATTCCACCTCCCATGCCTATCTCAGGTGACCCCACAGCTTGATGAACACATGATTCTTGGCTTCTGTGGCTATTGTCCTTATTGACCCTTTAACCTATAGCCATCAATTATGAAGGACAGTTTCCTGTGTTTATCCAGTGAAAGTACAGTAGTCCCAGTACCCAAATAGATTCCTGAAGACCCCTAAATTAAAAGAAAGAGAAGTTTAAGGCATTTATAGGGTTTTCTTGAATTCTCTTCCAACATCAGTCTCCTGAACTGATTTTGGAATTGAATTCAATATCTGCAATCTGACATTGGAAGTGAATTCAAGAAATACTTATTCTAACTTAATATTTATATTAACTAAAAAGGCAAAACAGACCCTTTACACAAATTAAAAATAGGTCTTTACAACTGACATGCAATTTACCATTCATTGTTAAATTTTAATCTTTTTCCAGTGTGTTGTTAAGTAAAATGGTATTTGGGGCTGGCTGCTGCCGTGTAGATGTATACACACATATTAGATACTATAGTGTTTTTTAAAAACATATATGCGCAAATGCTTTTATTTTACAGTGGAGAAAAATGGATAAAATCTAGGTATGTGTGCATCATTGATCTCTGGAATGGCATTCTACAATGTATGTTACACTGCTGGAAATTTAGTGGATTTAGTGCTGGACCTGATGAGAAGTCATCAGCAAATGTCTAGAGTAGAGGCCAAGAAAAGACAGCTTTCATCTCTCTTAGGGGGAATATGAAAGAATGCTACAAAGGATCTTAGAGGACTCTGCTACATTCTAGTTGTTGAGGAAATAAAAGACCTTGGACATGAATTCATGGGAGTTCTAATTAATTTAGTTGACATCAATGTCCTCATCTGGACCTTGGAAGAGCCTGACCATTCTCTCCTCAAGGCACTGGCCTTCTTGGGATTTGTCCTTTGAAAAATGCCCATCTGTTAAGCCTCAAGGAAAATCTACAGGTCATTAGGGAGTTACAGAAACGAGTTTCAATTCTGAAAAGATGGAATCCAAGCTATTAATTCAGATAATGAAAGGTATTCCTGGATTCAGGGTTCACAGGAGGTTTGTAAAAAACATTCCAAGAGAGTCAGTTACATTTTTTATCAAATACAATATTGTACAGTGTAAGATAAGCATTAATAAGGAGGAAATCCCAAATCAGGACCCCAAACTGAAGGCTTTGACAAATGTTCAGTTTAAAGTCCTATAACTAAGCCACCAACCCAGCCCAACAATTTATTACATATCTTGACGCTGGTTCTGAGAGCTTACGGAATAGACTGTCAAGACATTGAAGTCAAGAAGCCTCTAACAAAACTGACGGGCATGGTGGTACACACCTGTAATCTCAGCTACTCTGGGGGCTGAGCTGGAGGATTGCTTGAGCCCAGGAGTAAGTGAGCTGTGATTGTGCCAGTGCACCCAGTCTAGACTGGGTGACAAAGCAAGATGTTGTCTCTTAAAACAAAAACAAATTAACACTTATTAAAGACTTACTGTTTGTCAGGCACTCTTCTAAGCATTTATACATATTAAGTTACTCAAGGTGTTTAATCCTCATAGCAGATCTCCTGATCCCATTTTACCTGTGAGGGAATTGATACATTCAGTTACACAACTATTTTGTAAAGGAACCAACCTTCACCAGTTAGTTGCCCAGCTCCAGTGCCCAGGCTTTTGGTCAGTATATTGTGTTTTTCTAGCTTTTGCCAGGAAAAAATGTATCTAATTAGGAAGCCAGATACCCTGTGAGCACATTAGAGTTCCTGGCTTTTACTGACACTTTGAGTGAGGGATGCTGTGCTGGATCTTTTATTGGCTTCTCCAGATCCATTTTATCCTGTTGGATGCCTCAGCAGGCTCCCCTGCTGTCCTGAGATCAGGAGGCAAGAAAAGAAGGGTAAGTTATTCTTTTCCACCATCTCCACACCCCACTCACCATGACCTTGAAGGTCACCTACTTCTCTCTACTGAAGGCCTCAGGTGTTGTAAGTTTTAATGACCACTTCTTTGTACCTTCATGCCTGGGGTGGTAATGACTGGTGTGGTCCTCAATCTCTGAGATTCTACCACTCCTGCTGTTTCTCTTATATATGGCCCCCTCCTTGGTAAAGAGTTTCCTCTGTTTAGCCATTTTCATCAGGTCCCTGCAAGAACCCAGCCAGATGCAGGTGCCTCTTGATGAATGGAGTGCCAGCAGCCCATTGCTCTTTCTATTCACCATTTGTGAGGCAGCAGTGCAGAGACACAGCATCTAAGTGCTTATCTTTACTAGAGGGTTGTGTTGATGCTCTTTCTTGACTGGATCTCCTGGCTCTCAGGACCATCTGAGTTCTCCAACACATAAGACCTTGCCTTGTATAAGGTGGCACAGCAAGGTGACAACTATCCTCATTTGTTCACTTATTTATTAATTAATGCAAAAATATTTTCTGAGAACTTACTATGTGTTGGGCATTGTGCTGTGTGCTGGGGATACAGCCATGAACAGGATAGATTAGAGCCCTGCTCTCATGAAGCCTACAATTTAGTGGGCAGAGACAGAAAATAATAAGCCTAATAATTTTGATAACTGCAATGAAGAATATGTCAGGATAGTGCTTACAGAAAACAATCCGCTGCTGGGTGAGGCAATGCTGCTTTCAATAGGGTGGTAAGGAAAGGCTTCTTTGAAGAGGCAACAACATGATCAAAAGGATGTAGTCATGTGAAGAGCTGGAGACAGAAACCATCCCAAGCAAAGGGACAGCAAGTACAAGATCCACAAGGAAAAGTGACGTTTTTGAGGAAAAGAAAGATGGCTAATGTGGCCCAAGCAAGATAAGTGATGAGGCGGGAGATGCGGGCAGGAGCAAGATCATGTAGGGCTCTTAATTCCATAATGATATCAAGTCTTTCACTCTAGGAAAATCTGAGATCCTCTACCATCAATTTTACATAAGAGGTGTGAAGAAATGCCCCCTGAAAGAACCCAACTAAGGGGAATGATCCAAGAGAAAGCCAGATGACTCTAAGCAGAAAAAATTAGGGTTTTTTTTTAATCCCCAAAGGCAGCAAAGATTTGTTTTTTGTTATGTTATAAACCAAAACTGACAATAGAGATTTGAAAGAATGAGAGCAATGGTTTCCTCCAAGAGTATCATCTCATAGTCCCCAGAATTCTATATGTGGCTCTGGCCATCTGGGATACAGAGAACTATACAACTCATGTCTCCCAAACTTTTTTTTTCTTTTTACATTTTTGATCTAAGAAGGTGGGACTTTTAATTTCAAATAAAATGTGTACTAAGAGATATTTTTTCTGTGTCTGGTTCTACATACAAACTTGCAATTTCTTTCTGATTTGATGTCTCAGTTGTGAACTCACTTTTCCTCTGCACAAATTTAGCATCCAAGATAAAGACCAGAAAGAGGAAGAATTTCTGGCTGACGTTCTGGTGTAAAGGAATAAGGATGTTGCCAAACTGAAAGTAGTTGACCAAAACCTAATGTGTACAGAAACTAGGATGGAAAATTTAAAAGCAAAAGTGGTCATGCATTGAAAAGGGCCTATGGGGATTTCGCTACCTGCATGAATTTTTATTCACTTACTGATATCTTTAGGGTTGAGGAATGCCTGTCCCAATGGTCAAATATAGGTACTACTAGGAAAAATGAACAAATAGTGAGATTATTGGGTTGACATTTTAGATATTCAGGATATTTTAAGAGTTATTTCTTAAGGGTCTTCTATAAATACCATAGATATGTAGCTTAGCTGTCTCCATGGAAGTATCCTAGCAGTACTGTTAAATCTTAGTTCTAGGACCTTCAATTTTCTTCATCTTACCAATATTTTGTTACAGGAATATTTTTTCTTTTTGCCATTTGCTTTATTTCTAATCCATTTCCTATTTACAAATTTCCATTCTTCTTTTTTTATTATCACCAAAGAGTGATGAACTGTAGCCAGTGCTATTAAAGGGCATGATTTATTAAAGCTGCACAGTGTAATTTTGCATATGGAAACTCACTGCTGTAAGGAAGGTGGTTTATAGCTTCTTATAAATGGTAAACTAAAACATCATATAAGAAATCTTCTTCCCAATTAATTCTCTGTTTAGGAATTCTTCAATTTGGTATACTCTTTCCATCCTATCTAAGCTGCCCCTACCAAGATATGTAAGTACCAAAGGTTTCCCAACTTATTGTTATTTGATGTCTTTGATGTGCACATCAATTTCTAGGGGACCCATTTGCTTGTGCCTGGGGTGGTGATTCACAAGGAAAGCTCAGCTGAGGTTGAAATAGGCACAGCCCCTTACAGACATTATTATTAATGAGCACATTATCAATCACTTAGCTCACATGCTAGCCAGGAGCAGTGGCTCCCACCTGTAATCCCAGCACTTTGGGAGGCCAAATTGGGTGGGTCACTTGAGGTCAAGAGTTTGAGACCAGCCTGGCCAAAATGGTGAAACCTCATCTCTACTAAAAACACAAAAATTAGCTAGGCATAGTGGCTTACTCCTGTAGTCCCAGCTATTTGGGAGGCTGAAGCAGGAGAATCACTTGAATCCAGGAGGCAGAGTTGCAGCAAGTGGAGATTGCACCACTGCACTCCATCCTAGGTGGCAGAGTGAGACTCCATGTCAAAAAATAAAATAAATTAACAGAAAACCTCCCATTCTGTGGTTTGTCACTCTCTGTTTCTCAGCTCTTCATACCTTTTTTGCTGTTTTCTCTCTTTACTACTCATCATATCTTTTAATAGTTCTGTTCACAATCCCTATAAAGCCTGGCCAACTAGTTGACATTTTTAGGTAACCTGATTCATGTATTTAGCAGGTAATGTAGCTTAGTAGATTTAGTGAGCCTGTATTTCATTGTTACTGGAAGGAAGGAAGAAAAGGGGAATCTAAATGCCAAAATTTTATCTTGGTTAAAAATTTATTTAAATAAATTATTGAAATGTTGTTTGAAGTCACAAATATAATTAGAGAGGACTTAATAACATTTTAGTTACTTTGTTGAAAAGTACTCATCCCTAAAATTTCATTCATTTATTCATCTGTGAAGTAAATTCAACAAATTGTAAATGGTAACAGCAAAGATACAGTTTTGAACTATTCTTAACTATTTCTGCTAAAAATAGTTAAGAATATTAACAACAGAGAAGGGGGAAGATGGTGCTATAGGAGCAACTCAGGATTGCAGCTCCCAGTGAAAGCACAGAGGGTGAGTGGATGCTGCATTTCCAGATGGATCTTTACTGCCCACAGACCAGGAAATTCCGAGGTGTAGGAGCCCCATGGGACACCATGGGGGTGTTTTGGCTGGTGCAGCCATTTCGGCCGGCGCTGCAGCGCAGTGACACTCCATACAAAATACACTGGTCTGGTTGCCCTGTTAAACCAGCAATATGAGATTTGGGAAGGCAGATTAGCACATTCATCTGATTAAATGGGACTTAAAGAGAAAGCCCGGCCAGGAGATTCCTGGGCAGTGAAGTTTGAGCTGGTGCAGTGGGTCGCTGCACAGCAAATCACACAGATCCTGGAGCCCTTTCAGCAGGCAACTGAAACACCTGGGAGAGAGTCAACCATTCAACTTAAAAAAAAAACAAAAGGGCTCTGAGGCAGAGAGCCAGGTGATCATTTTCGGTGGGTCCCACCCCCACAAAAACAAAACAGCAATTGGAAATGCTCAGGGTTGAGAGTTTCACAGCAAGCACAGCTCAACCCAGGATGGTGCAGCTCAGTGGAGGAGGGACGTCTGCCATTACTGAGGCATTCTGCCCCTACAGAGGTACTCTCCCATTGCTGACACAGCCTCCCATTGCTGAGGTAACCTGCCATAACAGAGAGACTCCGCCAATACAAAGGCAAGCCACCATCACCATGGCAGTTCTAACCACACCCATATAAACAGGACTACAGGGAATTACACTTGGCAGCAGGGCGGAGCCCATGGCAACAGGGCAGAGCCCACAACAGCAGGGCAGAGCCCACAGCAGCAGGGCAGAGCTCATGGCAGCAGCACGGAGCCTTGGCAGGCAGGTAGTGACTAGACCGCCCCTTGCTGGGCAGGACAGTGCAATTGATACTCATAAATAAAGCCCTAACTCCCCGAGACAGAGCACCTAAGGAGAAAAAGTTACTTTATGAGTTCTGCTGCAGCAGACTTAAACGTACCTGCCTAGCAGTCCTGAATGAACAATGGAGCTCTTCAGCTCCTATAAAGTACAGACTGTCTCCTCAAGCAGCTCCCTGACCCCTGTATATCCAAAGAGTCACCTCACAAAGGACTGATCAGACTGACATTTGGTGGGCATCATTCTGGGACAAAGATAGCAGAAGAAGAAACTGGTAGCATCCCTCACTGTTCTGCAGCTGCTACAGGTGTACCCCAGGCAAGCCAGGCCTGGAGCAGACCTCAGCAGTTCTATAGCAGAAGGGCTAGACTGTTAGAAGGAAAACTAAGAAAAAGAAATACTTCATCATCAACAATCTGGGCGTCCACTCAGACACCCAATCAAAAAGTCAGCAACTACTCAGATGACAGGTGGATAAATCCACAGAGATGGGAAGAAACTGGCGCAAAAAGGAGGAAAACACCTGAAAATGAAACACCTTGCCTCCTACAAGGGACCACAATCCCTCACCAGCAAGGGAACAAAGCTGGACGGAAAATGAGTGTGATGAAATGTCAGAATCAGACTTCAGAAGGTGGGTAATGAGAAACTTCAGTGAGCTAAAAGAACATGTTCTAACTCAATGCAAAGAAACTAAGAACCTTAAAAAAATATTTGAGGAAATGATAACAAAAATGGACAACTTAGAGAGGAATATGAGTGAATTGGTGGTGCTATAAAACAGAACACGAGAACTTCGTGAAACATGCACAAGTTTCAACAGCTGAATTGACCAAGCAGAAGAAAGGATATCAAATATTGAAAATCAACTCAATGAAATAAAATGAGAAACCAAGATTAGAGAAAAAAGTACAAAAAGGCATGAACAAAGTCTCCAAGAAATGTGGGACTATGTGAAAAGACCTAATCTACGTTTGATAGGTGTACCTGAATGTGACGAAGAGAATGAAGCCAAGCTGGAAAATACTCTTCAGGATATTATCCAGGAAAATTTTCCCAACCTAGCAAGACAGGCAAATATTCAAGTCCAGGAAATAGAGAGAACACCACAAAGAAATTCCACAAGAAGAGCGACCCCAAGGCACATAATTGTCAGATTTACCAGGGTTGAAGTGAAGGAGAAAATGCTAAGGGCAGCCAGAGAGAAAGGTCAGGTCACCTGCAAAGGGAAGCCCATCGGACTCACAGCAGATCTCTCGGCAGAAACCCTACAGACTTCTGCCGAGAGAAGAGAGTGGGGCCAATATTCAACATCCTTAAAGAAAAAAACTTTCAACCCAGAAGTTCATATCCAGCAAAACTGAGCTTCATAATTGAAGGAAAAATAAAATCCGTTGCGAACAAGCAAGTACTCAGAGATTTTGTCACCACCAGGCCTGCTTTACAAGAGCTCTTGAAAGAGGCCCTACACATAGAAAGGAACAACCAGTACCAGCCATTCCAAAAACATACCAAATGTTAAAAAGCATCAACAAAATAAAGAATCTGCATCAACTAACAGGCAAAACAGCAAGCTAGCATCAAAATGGCAGTATCAAATTCACACATAACAATATTAATCTTAAATGTAAATGGACTAAATGCACCAATCAAAAGACACAGACTGACAAATTGGATAAAAAGCCAAAACCCATCGGTGTGCTGTATTCAGAAAACCCATCTCACATACAAAGATACACAAGGCTCAAAATAAGGGATGGAGGAAGATTTACCAAGCAAACAGAGAGCAAAAAAAAGCAGGAGTTGCAATTCTCGTCTCTGATAAAATAGACTTTAAAGCAACAAAGATCAAAAGAGACAAAGTAGGACATTACATAATGGTAAAAGAATCAATACAACAAGAAGAGCTAACGATCCTAAATATATATGGACCCAATACAAGACCACCCAGATATATAAGGCAAGTTCTTAAAGACTTACAAAGAGACTTAGACTCCCACACAATAATAGTGGGAGACTTTAACACTCCACTGTCAATATTAGACAGATCAACCAGACAGAAAATTAACAAGGGTATCCAGGACTTGAACACAAACCTGGAACAAGCAAACCTGATAGATATTTACAGAACTCTCCACCCAAAATCCACAGAATATACATTCTTCTCAGCACCACATCAACCTTCTCTAAAATTGACCACATAATTGGAAGTAAATCACTCCTCAGCAAATGCAAAACAATGGAAATTATAATAAACAGTCTCTCAGACCATAGTGCAATCAAGTTAGAACTCAGAATTCAGAAACTAACTCATAACCACACAGATTCATGGAAACTGCACAACTGGCTCTTGAATGTTGACTGGATCAACAATGAAATAAAGAAGTTCTTCAAAACCAATGAGAATGAAGACAAAACATACCAGAATCTCTGCGACACATTTAAAGCAGTCTCTAGAGGAAAATATATAGCAATAAGTGCCCACATGAGAAGAGTGGAGAGATCCAGAATTGACACCCTATTGTCAAAATTGAAAGAGCTAGAGGAGCAAGATCAAAAAAACTCCAAACCTAGCAGAAGACAAGAAATAACTAGGATCAGAGCAGAACGGAAAAAGATAGAGACACAAAAAAACCCTTCAAATAATCAATAAATCCGAGAGCTTGTTTTTTGAAAAGATCAACAAAATAGACCACTAGCCAGATCGATAAAAAAAGAAAAGAGAATAACAAAATAGATGCAATAAAAAATGATAAAGGAGAAATTACCACAGATTCCACAGACATTCAAACCATCATCAGAGAATATTAAAAACAACTCCTTGCACACAAACTAGTAAACCTGGAAAAAATGGATAAATTCCTGGACATTTGTGTCCTCCCAAGCCTAAACCAGGAGGAAGCCAAAACTATGAATAGACCAATAACAAGGACTGAAGTTGAGGCAGCAATTAAGAGCCTACCACACAAAATAAGCCCAGGTCCAGATGAGTTCACAGCCAAATTCTTCCAGACACACAAAGAGAATCTGTTACCATTCCTTCTGAAACTACTCCAAATAATTCAAAAAGAGAGAATCCTTCCCAAATCATTTTATGAGACCATCATCATCCTGATATCAAAACCCAGCAGAGACTCAACAAGAAAAGAAAACTTCAGGCCAATATCTGTAATGAACATAGATGCAAAAATCATCAATAAAATACTGGCAAGCTGATTGCAACAGCACACCAAAAAACTTATCCACCATGACCAAGTAGGATTCATCCCAGGGATGCAAGGCTGGTTCAACATACACAACTCTATCAATGTAATTCACCACATAAACAGAACCAAAAACAAAAACCACATGATTATCTCAATTGATGCAGAGAAAGCCTTTGACAAAATTCAACAGCCCTTTATGCTAAAAACCCTCAATAAACTCGGTATTGATAGAACGTAACTCAAAATAATAAAAGCTATTTATGACAAACCAACAGCCAATATCATACTGAATGGGCAAAAACTGGAAGCATTCCCTTTGGAATCTGGCACTAGACAAGGATGCCCTCTCTCACCACTCCTATTCAATATAGTACTGGAAGTCCTAGCCAGAGCAATCAGGCAAGAAAAAGAAATAAAGGGTATTCAAATAGGAAAGGAGGAAGTCAAGTTGTCTCTATTTGCAGATGACATGATTGTATATCTAGAAGACCCCATCATCTCAGCCCAAAAACTCCTGAAACTGATAAGCAACTTCAGCAAAGTCTCAGGATACAAAATCAATGTGCAAAAATCACAAGCATTTGTCTACACCAATAACAGACTTAAAGAGAGCCAAATCAAGAATGAACTGCCATTCACAATTGCTACAAAGAGAATAAAATACCTAGGATACAACTAACAAGGAACGTAAAGGACCTCTTCAAGGAGAACTACAAAGCACTGCTCAACAAAACAAGAGAGGACACAAAGAGATGGAGAAACATTCCATGTTCATGGTTAGGAACAATCAATATCATGAAAATGGCCATACTGCCCAAAGTTATTTACAGACTGAACGCTATCCCCATCAGGCTACCAATGACCTCCTTCACAGAACTGGAAAAAAACACCTTAAACTTAATATGGGACCAAAAGAGAGCCCACATAGCCAAGTCAATTCTAAGCAAAAAGAACACAGCAGGAGGCATCACACTACCGAACTTCAAAGTATACTACAAGGCTACAGTAATCAAAAC